CTTCCACTAGAGCAGGTTGCTCCAAGCCCCTGTGTCCAACCTGGCCTTGAACACTGCCAGGGATGGGGCAGCCACAGCTTCTCTGGGCACCCTGTGCCAGCGCCTCAGCACCCTCACAGGGAAGAGCTTCTGCCTCATATCTAACCTGAACCTCCCCTGTTTCAGTTTAAACCCATCACTCCTTGTCCTATCGCTCCAGTCCCTGATGAAGGTCCCTCTCCAGCATCCTTGTAGCCCCCTTCACACACTGGAAGCTGCTCTGAGGTCTGAGCTTCTCTTCTCCCCACTGAACAGCCTCAGTGTTCTCAGCCTGTTTTCGTATCACTCCATGCCTTCCCAGATAGCCGGACACAAGCTGGCACAGTTGTCTCTACACAGCTTGATGTCTCCCAGAACCCCTCTGCATCTTGCTCATTTGTTCTGGTTGCTGCTGGGCTGCTCAAAAGGGACAGCAGAGCCCATCCCACTGCTCCTTATCTCCCTGCTCACCCTCTACTGGAGCAACCATCTTCCTTCAGCCCTCCAGTGTGTCCCACCCTACATAGCATCTCCCAGCAACCTTAACCACAGCAGAGTGGTCCCTTTGGTTCCCTCTCAGTGATGACCTTCCTTTCCTCTCGCCGTCATCGTCATCATGTCTTCCTCTCCAAAACTGGAGTTGCTTTTCCTCTGGCTTGAGAAGAGGAGCCAAGGAAGGCTGGGTTTACATGAATTGGTGCTGAAGGAGGATGGTGAGCAGCACTTGGGCTGGTTCTGGCAGCTGTGTTGACTCTTTGAGTCGCTAAAGCTCATGGCAAAAGTTAGAGTGGATTTCTTGAGCAAGAAATGCAGCTACACCATCAGGCCCTGTGTGTCTGCTCTCCATCACACATCCTGCTCCCAGTGTCCTGTCAGCCACACTCCTCTGCAGCAGGCATGCACCCCAGGGACACTGTTTTACCAGCTGCCAACATCTGGAAGGCATCACTGGCTCTGTTAAGCCGGTTGAGTGTAACCACTGGAGTCTGTCAGTGCAGCTCAACCAAGAGGTGCCAAAGGTCTTCTCAGTCTTCACATAAACAGGATCTGGGAGGGGACTCAGCAGTTTAGGGGGGGATTAACACAAGAATGGAAACGAGCAAATTCTTTCCACCCATCACAGTCTATGTGCAAGCCTGAAGGCTTTGGGTTGAGGGGCTGTGTCATGGCCACAGCCCTGTCTCCATCCCCCTACTCTCCTGCTCTTGCTTTGGCATCTCCTGAAGGGTTCACTTGGCAGGTTTCCAAACAGGAAATTCAGCTCAGTTTTGGACTTGGCTCTTGACCAGTCTAGGGTGGGTTTTGTTAAGGTTCCTGTTTCTAGACCTTGGCCCAAGAGGTCTTTGATGCCTGTTGAGGCTCCAACAGGTCTTCACTCCCTGCTTTTGTTGACCGGGGGATGCTGATCGGATGACAGCAGGGGTGAGGAAGAGAAGGAGGGATTTCATCCGCCTGCATCAGCCCCTGAGCACATGTTGGGTTAGGTTTGCCCATGGTGTGTTTTGCACCTACTCAGGCTCCCCTACCCCAGAGCACAGCCCAAGGTGCAGTGTGACCCAGGTCTCCTTCCTGCAAGATTGCAAAGAACAATATTCCCCAACTACAAGGAACAAAGAAATAGTCCCCAAAGCCAGAACTGGATGTGGAATGGCGCAAAAATGCTGCCTTTTGGGCTTGTTCCTCAAACATACACGGCCACTAATGAGCTGTGAGGATGTGCATGGCTGCTCGAGATGCTGAAGGCCTTGTGGGGGGAGATGGCAAAGCAAACCTGCCCCAAACAAGCTGTTGTATTTTCACAACCACATTCCTCACTTGCAGCTGCACCTTCCAGCCCTCCCTTCAAACTCTGACATTACAACCTAAAACAAAGCCCAGTTTTTGGACTTAGCCAAATGTCCCAAAGTTGTTGAGAAATCCAAACAATCAAAGGGACTTGAAGGGAAATCTCTTTGCCCCAGACTGCTTTATCCTGCCTTAATACAGAATTGCCAGTTAGCTAAGGAGTAAGCACAAGCTACCTACCCTTAAGCTTTAGCTGGTGATGCCCAGCCCAGAGGAATCTGCTTAGGCTCTTGCATCTTTGGATGCAGGAGAGGGACTCTTCATCAGAGCCTGTAGGGACAGGCCAAGGGGAATGGCTTTAACCTGCCAGAGGGGAGACTGAGATGAGCTCTGAGGCAGAAGCTCTTCCCTGGGAGGGTGCTGAGGCGCTGGCACAGGGTGCCCAGAGAAGCTGTGGCTGCCCCATCCCTGGCAGTGTTCAAGGCCAGGTTGGACACAGGGGCTTGGAGCAACCTGCTCTAGTGGAAGGTGTCCCTGCCTGTGGCAGGAGATTGGAGCTGGAGGAGCTTTTAGCTCCCTTCAACCCAAACCAGTCTGGGATTCTTTGACTCTGTGTGGGAAAGCATCAGAAATGCCTTGGAGTGTTGGCTCCAGAGCCAAGCAGCAGATGGAGGTGGCTTTCATTCGACTACTTAGTGCACTGCTTCTTCCTGGCCTTCCGCTTTGTTCCCTGCTCGTTTTGATTGGAGATCCTGGGCACATCCACATCCCAGTGTTGGGGCGCACAAAGCCTCTCCCCTCGCTGTCCATCCTCATCCCCATGTGAGGATGGGGAGGACTCAGTATTTCATTTCTTGATGTCATCCTGATGTGGATATTTCATGTCTCTGTGCTTGGCTCTTCCCCCACAGGGTGAAGCTGGGCTCCAGGGCTCGCAGGGACGCGTGGGTCACCCTGGCTTGGATGGAAAACCTGGCTTGGATGGGAAACCAGGGCCGTGGGGGCTGCCAGGAGAGCAGGTGAGCCATGGGCGAGCAGGGCCATGGGGTGCCAGTGTTGGGTATGGGAAAGCTGCAGCCCCAAGCCCTGGTCAGGAGACAAGGGGATCTAATGCTGCTGCTCTTCATGTTCACTTGCTCCTTTAACTAAAGTGTTAAGCTTACAAACCCAGGCAGTCCTGGATTAGTTCATATTTTCCTCACACACAAAGAAAAAGGTCAGTAGAACACCAGATTTGTGTATTAAGGTGCAGCTGGGATAACATGAGCACTGCACATCCTGCATTGTGGGGGCCTGAGCAAGCGGGATGGGCAGTTCTTCTGCATCTGAGCCTCCCATTGCTTTTACAGGAGAAAATCCTGGGGGTGGGAGGAGGTAAAGAAATAAAGTTAATTATGGATTCCTGGATAGTGTTCAAGCCATGAATCATAGAATCCCAGACTGGTTTGTGT